CAAAAAAAAAAAAAAAAAAAAAAAAAAGGAAAAGGAAAGGAAAGAAAAAAACTTTAGGCCAATATCCCTGATGAACGTCGATGCAAAAATCCTGAATAAAATACTGGCAAACCAAATCCAGCAGCACACCCAAAAACTTATACACCATGTTCAGGCTGGCCCCATTCCTGGGATGCAAGGATGGTTCAACATATGCAAATCAATAAACGTAGCTCATCGCATAAACAAAACCAATGACAAAAACCACATGATTATCTCAATAGATGCAGAACAGACCTTTGTTAAATTCAGCATCTCTTCATGTAAAAAATGCTCAATAAGCTAGGTATTGATGGAACATATCTTAAAATAATAAGAGCCATTTATTACAAACCCACAGCCAATATCATATTGAAAGGGCAAAAGCTGGAAGCATTCCCTTTGAAAACCAGCACAAGACAGTATGCCCTGTCTCACCACTCCTATTCAAAATAGTATTGGAAGTTCTGGCCAGAGCAATCAGGCAAGAGAAAGAAATAAAGGGTATACAAATAGGAAGAGAGGAAGTCAAATTGTCTCTCTTTGTTGATGATATAATTTTATATTTAGAAAATGCCATTGTGTCAGCCCAAAAACTTCTTAAGCTGATAAGCAACTTCAGCAAAGTCTCAGGATACAGAATTAGTGCGCACAATTACAAGCATTTCTTTACACCAACAATAGAAAAGCAGAGAGCCAAATCATGAAAGAACTCCCATTCGTGGTTGCTACAAAGAGAATAAAATACCTAGGAATACAGCTAACAAGGGATATGAAGGACCTCTTCAAGGAGAACTACAAACCACTGCTCAAGGAAATAAGAGTGGACACAAACAAATGGAAAAACATACCATTGTCATGGGTAGGAAGAATAAATATTATGAAAATGATCATAATGCCCAAAGTAGTTTATAGATTCAGTGCTATTCCTATGAAACTACCATTGATATTCTTCACAGAATTAGAAAAAACTACTTTAAATTTCGTATGGAATCAAAGAAGACCCCATATTGCCAAGACAATCCTAAGCAAAAAGAACAAAGCTGGAGGCATCACACTACCTGACTTCAAACTATACTACAAGGTTACAGTAGCCAAAACAGCATGGTATTAGTACAAAGACAGACATATAGACCAGTAGAACAGAACAGAGACCTCGGCAATGACACCACACATCTACAGCCATCTGATCTTTGACAAATCTGACAAAAACAAGCAATGAGGAAAGGATTTCCTATTCAATAAATGGTGCTGTAAAAACTGGCTAGCTGGAAAAGCTGCAGAAAGCTGAAACTGGACCCCATTCCTTATACTTTATACAAAAACTAACTCAAGATTGACTAAAGACTTAAATATAAAACCTAAAACTGTAAAAACCCTAGAAAAAAACCCAGCCAATACCATTCAGGACATAGGCATGGGCAAAGACTTCATAACAAAAATGCAAAAGCGATTGCAACAAAAGTCAAAATAGACAAATGGGATCTAATTAAACTAAAGAGCATCTGTACAGAAAAAAAAACTATCATCAGATTGAATAGGCAATCTACAGAATGGGAGAGGATTTTTGCAACCTGCCCCTCTGACAATGGTCTAATATTCAGAATTTACGAGGAACTTGACACATTTACAAGGAAAAAACAACCCCATCAAAAAGTGAGCAAAGTACATGAACAGACACTTCTGAAAAGAAGACATTTACACAGCCAACAGACATGAAAAATGTTCAATATCACTGATTATTAGAGAAATGCAAATCAAAACTACAATGAGATACCATCTCATGCCAGTTAGAATGGTGATTATTAAAAGATCAAGAAACAATAGATGCTGGTGAGGCTGTTGAGAAATATAAATGCTTTTACACTGTTGGTGGGAATGTAAATCAGTTCAGCCATTGTGGAAGACAGTATGGTGATTCCTCAAGGATCTAGAACCAGAAATACCATTTGATCCAGCAATCTCATTACTGGGTATACACCCAAAAGAATACAAATCATTCTACTATGAATACACATGCACATGTATGTTTATTGCAGCACTATTTACAATAGCAAAGTCATAGAACCAACCCAAATGCTCATCCATGGTAGACTGGATAAAGAAAATGTGGTACATATACAGCATGGAATACTATGCAGCCATAAAAAGGAATGAAATCCTGTCCTTTGCAAGGACACAGATGAAGCTGGAAGCCATCATTCTCAGCAAAGTAACGCAGGGACAGAAAACCAAACACCACATGTTTTCACTCATAAGTGGGAGTTGAGCAATGGACACAGGGAGGGGAACAATGTGCACCAAGGCCTGTTGGGGGCTAGGGGGCAGGGAGAGGGAACTTAGAGGATGGGTCAACAGGTGCAAAAATGTCATGTTTTTTTCAAAAAGAAAAAAAAGAATAAAATTATATATGCACTCACATACTTAAAAAAAGGAAAGAATAGTACTTTGTATCATTCATATTTTCAGTATAGCTTATTACATAATTGTTCTTTGGATACTGGCCATTCATGTATAATATTTCTCTAGGAACTAGGTTATCTAACCAAAATGTTTAATTTTCTCACCATAATTAACAGTTTAGTTTACAAGTTATGATGATTTCATTTAAAAAAATCCTACAGGAGAAAACTATAGTCATTCTTTTCTACAGTTAATGGCTAATTTATTTTATTCCCCGTTTGCATTTTTTGGTTCCTTCCAATTTTCAGGAATTTAGAGATTCCTTTTGATGTTAGAATGGGGAAACAGGGTTCATTTCCGGTGGCACTGATTTTTCACATAGGTAGTGGCAACATTTCACAACAATAAAAAGGATAAAAGTCAGTAATAGATTCACATAAGTGTTTAGCTAGAAAAATGAGACACAGTTAATGGATATGTGTCAAAGCACTATTAGCTAAAAGCAATTACAGAATAAAATGGCTAAAATCATAATCCTAATGAAAAAATGTATTTCTTTACTTCATTATACATTTATCTCCATGAAACTAGATGCACATCTCTTGGGGTATACATATCACTAGAAATTTTCTCACCAGTGGACTTCTAAAATCATTAAAATGTTACTAATCTCTTATCTGCAGGTGTTCTTCAAGAAGGTATCTCACCTCTTTTCCTTTTTACATTCCTTAGAAAGCTGGAAACAGTCCCAGTCCTCTGTGTGACAGTGAACCCTAAGACTATGAGTGTTTTCATTTACAACACTGGGCTTGAATACCTTTTTTTTTTTGAGACGGAGTTTTACTCTTGTTGCCCAGGCTGGAGTGCCATGGTGCGTTCTCAGCTCAAGGCAACCTCCTCCTGGGTTCAAGCAATCTCCTCCCTTAGCCTCCCGAGTAGCTGGGATTACAGGCATGTACCACCAGGCTCGGCTAATTTTTTTTTTTTTTTTTTTTTTTTTTAAGTAGAGACGGGGTTTCGGGTTTTCTCTGCGTTGGTCAGGTTGGTCTCGAACTGCCGACCTCAGGTGATCCGCCTGCCTTGGCCTCCCAAAATGTTGGGATTACAAAGGCATGAGCCACTGTGCCCTGCTGAATACCTCTTTTTAACTCCCTGGAGATATTTGCCCCACAAAGCTCTCCCTCAAACACAACCTCCTTCTACCTGGTGTCTTTATGCATTTGGAGCTGGACTTGGAATGAATTGCCTGTAAGCTACCATCTGACAGCCTAACACAACATCTTGGGCTTTCTTTCGCTCTCCAGACTCCTGTCTTGCATCCTCAGAGATGTCTTGGGGATAAAAATGAGTTTAAAACAAAACTTTCCTTAGCTGCTCCAGCGGCTGAGCGCAGCTCGGCTGCATCCGAGCGCGGTGCCCTCTTCTCTCCCAGTTCTGCTCTGTACCCGTGAAAAAGGGGGCGGAGAGGAGAGAGAAGAGGAAGAGGCGGAGGTCACTTGGGCGCCCCATCCCGCCCAGGCTTGGAGCGCAGCTAGGTGCAGAGGGATCCTAGGAGCCGAGCGTGCCCGGCCGGTTCCGGGCTAAGGGAACGAGTGAGTGGAGGGGTCCAGCGGCGGGTCCACAGCCCGCGCCCGAGCAGGATCTCCGCGCTGCGGTCCGTGGAACTTAAGACAGCTGCGGCGCGGGGCCCGGCGCGCCATGGTGCACCGAGCGGCTCGCTCTTCTGCTCCACAGAGAGCCCGGCTGGCGGCCTGGGATGACAAGGTAACCACCCCTCCAGAGGCTGATCCCAACGCATTGGCCTCCGGATGCTTATCCAGACCCAGGTTTAACCAACCCATCCCCTGGGACACCCGCATCTTCTGCCGGCTGCGCCTGGCACGGAGTTTGGACCAGATTCCCTAAGCTGGGGAGATGCGTAAAGAAGGGTACTCGGGCTAACCCGTCCCCATTCTGAGTTGTTTGGATGGGGACCGGATAGAAAGGGTCTCAGAAGAGGGAAATAGGCAGAGATCCCGCTTTTCGCCGCTGCAGGGTTCACTGCGGGCGGCACTTAGAGTTCCGACCAGGGCATCTCCTCACTCCGGGTCCCCAGGATAAGAGAGAAATAGCCCTCTGGCGTTTGAGCAATTGCAGAATGTTTCAGCGAGTTTGTTAATCTGGAGAGGATGTTGTGAGGCCAAGCTGAAGGGCGACGGGGGGGCAGTAACGGGCGAGAGTCGAGCTGTGAGTAAGACCTGGAGGAGGCCACCGTCCTGGGGAAAGCCTAGGCAGTCCCACTCGGACCGGGCGCAGGAAAAGCTGGCTCTGGAATTTGCAGCCTCCGGGAAAGCTAGCTGCTCGGGAAACGCCAATCGAATTAGCTCGGAGCAGAGTGGCTGTGGCCTTGTGTATCCAGTGTCTGTGACTAAGGGTTCAGCCCTCTAGGGAAAGAGTGACAAGTAAATACTTGGCCTTGGTTGTTGCTACTCTGAAGCTGTAATTGGACGCTATCTTGGCCGAGATGCACAGAGTGAGCGTGGCCTGCCCCCTTCCCCATCGTGAATCAGAATTTCTGCACGGGGGCAGCTAGACCAGAAAACCTTCCTAGAGACTTACCACACTGCTTTCCATAGCTTCAATGTGCGTGTGGTTTGCTGTTATTTGATTTAGGCTTAGAAACATATTCAGGAAATCTGCGTTTAACATCAATGAACTTGCAGGTCCCCTTCCAAAGTTTGGAGATTGTTATCTCTGCCTGACAAGCAGGTCGTTCAACTGAGGAATAATCTGCAGTTTGGGGACAAAGCCCACCAGAGGAAAGAGCAGACACTTTAAAAGGTCTGGTTTTTGTTTGTTTGCTTTAATAGACTATTATGATTTAAAAAAACTTATTGGGTTTAAATCTAATCTTGGCAGCGATTTTGTAAAACTTGAAAGTTTTAAGGTGTCAGTGAAGTGGGGCGGGGGTGCTTTCAGGAGGAGGTGCTCATTTGCAGATGGGCCATAGAAGTTAACCAATGGGTCTCAATTTCAACAGCTTCTTTACCTTGAAAATGAAATGTAGAACCACAGACAGATATGAGCTGCTTTTAGTATGATGCAACCTTGCTTCTAATAGGCCAGATGAAACCTATTCCACCACAGGATGCTGGGGCACGTCAGTCTAAACGTCAGATAAGCAGTTCATAATTCCTCTGTCTTTATCCTACAGATGTCTGGACTGCAAGCTTGCACAGTTTTGAGAGGGAGATGACTTGAGTGGTTGGCTTTTATCTCCACAACAATGTCTATGAACAATTCCAAACAGCCAGTGTCTCCTGCAGCTGGGCTTCTTTCAAACACAACTTGCCAGGCAGAAAACCGGCTTTCAGTATTTTTTTCAGTAATCTTCATGACAGTGGGAATCTTGTCAAACAGCCTTGCCATTGCCATTCTTGTGAAGGCATATCGGAGATTTAGACAGAAGTCCAAGGCATCGTTTCTACTTTTGGCTAGTGGCCTGGTAATTACGGATTTCTTTGGCCATCTCATCAATGGAACCATAGCAGTATTTGTGTATGTTTCTGATAAAGACTGGATCCGCTTTGACCAATCAAATGTCCTTTGCAGTATTTTTGGTATCTGCATGGTATTCTCTGGTCTGTGCCCACTTTTTCTAGGCAGTGTGATGGCCATTGAGCGGTGTATTGGAGTCACGAACCCAATATTTCATTCTACGAAAATTACATCCAAACATGTGAAAATGATGTTAAGTGGTGTGTGCTTGTTTGCTGTTTTTATAGCTTTGCTGCCCATCCTTGGACATCGAGACTATAAAATTCAGGCATCGAGGACCTGGTGTTTCTACAACACAGAAGACATCAAAGACTGGGAAGACAGATTTTATCTTCTACTTTTTTCTTTTCTGGGGCTCTTAGCCCTTGGTGTTTCATTGTTGTGCAATGCTATCACAGGAATTACACTTTTAAGAGTTAAATTTAAAAGTCAGCAGCACAGACAAGGCAGATCTCATCATTTGGAAATGGTCATCCAACTCCTGGCGATAATGTGTGTCTCCTGTATTTGTTGGAGTCCATTTCTGGTAAGAGCCTGAAGTTTTGACTTCTACTTTCTTGGGTTAATCCATGTTCAATTCCAGGTTATCTTTTTCGAAGTTGTTAGTTCGGAAGTTCAGTCTTTTAAATGCTAAGACTGGCCCCTACTCAAAATTTATTTCAGCACTCAGCTCTGGCTTAGAATTACACATATGGTTATCTTCCCAGAAGCCCTGAAGTGAAAGAAATGTGTTGCTAAATAATTCTAACCATAGTGTTAATTGCTTGCAGAGCAGTGTAGTTCTTACAGAATTTACATATTTTTAACACACTGCATATGATTATTTCTAAAATGTGAACAAAATGACCAACTATAAAACAGCATTGGAACAGATTGCAGTAAGTCTTGGTAAGTCTTGACAGAAAGTCACAAGGACTTTTAATTAGTAGACAGGGCATATTAGCTATTGGGTTCTCCGAAGCACACAATGACCAGAACTGCAAAGGCTGGTGATGAATTGAGATAGCTGAATAGTTCAGGTATCTGAACTGCATAGATAGTTCAAGTGAAGAAATCAGTAGTTCACTAACTGGAACAATGCCCTTAGTCCAGACAGAGGTATGTTCAACAGGAAGTCCAGAGATTATTTCCTTTTGGTTTCATTCACTTAAAATTTTAAGTTAGCCAGCATCTGTATGTGATAGCTTGATATTTTAATTTGGAAATGAAAGCTAAAGTGAAGCTATTGGAAACAAACATAAATCATTTCACCTTCCAGATAGAAGACAAAAATCATATTTATGATCCATAAGTATGACCTTAACTCCTTCCAGCATTTTGCTTTATAATGTAAGAAGTGACAACATGCCATGAAAGAAAAGGAAAAAAAAACCTTCTGTAGGGGGCAAGTGGCAACAAAGATTGTTTTTCTCTTTCCCCTTGTCTGTAACAATAAGTGGGAAAGCATCCAGAGATAGCAGTACAGGTGATAGGAAGGTGGAAGTGAGGCAAAGGTAGAGGTAAGACAAGGTGGTGGTTGTACCTTATCTACCTTATCTGGCAGAATGAAGATGCTTGTTACTAATGCAGTTTTGTTAGGCTCCGAAGAGGCTTATTGCCCAAGAATAGTTGCTAGTGAAGTTTTTTTTTTTTTTTTTTTTTTTTGAGAGGGAGTCTCACTTTGTCACCCAGGCTAGAGTGCAGTGGTGTGATCTCGGCTTACTGCAGCCTCTGCCTCCTGGGTTCAAGCAATTCTCCTGCCTCAGTCTCCTGAGTAGCTGGGATTATAGGCACATATCACCATGCCTGGCTAATCTTTGTATTTTCAGTAGAGACATGGTTTCCCCATGTTGGCTAGGCTAGTGTCAAACTCCTGACCTTGTGATCCACCCGCCTCGGCCTCCCAAAGTGCTGGGATTACAGGCTTGAGCCACCATGCCTGGCCCACTAGTGCAGTTTCAATTAATGAACCAGATGATTTTGATACATATAAAAGTTTGTGACAGCTGCCACTGCAGACAGATTCTACAATAGAGTTGGGTTTATTTTACAAAGGGAGTTCTACTGTTCTAATATTTTTGAAATTTCTATTCATATTATTGAATTTCTATTCATATTGCCTCACAACCTGAATCTGGCTTCTTGAATTGTTAAGTCATTTACATTTTTTTGTGTCCGTTGTTCCTGAGTTGGCCAGGTCATAAAAACTCACCCAAGGGGAGAGTGGGTCTATCCATGGGAAATCAACCTTTGGTGGCCTGCTTATTGTCAACTGAGGAGGCCTTAGGTGAACCCAGTAAGAGTCTGATCTGTGATTATAGTATAGTTGCATGAACTGAATAACAGAAACCATTTCTAACAACACTGGAACCTCTTCACTGTTTATTTTTGAGGAGGTTAATGTATGCCACTCAACAACGAAAAATTCCCCGGGTGTGATGCTTTTTAGTTTTTCTGTAGTTCACTTTTGAAATAAAGTAGATTTTTAAACTAAAAAGTGAGTCTGAGTGAGTTGAAATGAATTTAGGGGTTGTGAAAGAAATAGAAAGAAAGTGAGAAAAGAGGTGAAAAATGTTTAAATAAATTTTACAGTGAAGGTTGTTTCTCTGGAGAATACTTCAAAACAATGAAATGGTGAAGTATTAATAAATGAGAGACATAACCTGGACAACTGAGGTGATCACCTGTATTTTGTTTTTTTATTTATTCTGAGGCATCTTAAAAATTCTGTGGGTTTTGACTTTGAGGAATAGGAGTGATAGACTCACTCCTGCATGACTATGGAAGGAAGCAAAATTTCACACTCTTGGTAAGGATATTTTGAATTTATGGTTTTCCCTAATTTCCATTCCTGGATTTTTGGTTTCCTTCCTTGTTAGAATAAATATTATAATTAAATTCATATTTTGAACCCATTTCCTAGGGGAAACAAAGTTTGACTTCCACAAAACATTTTCTGAGGTCCATTTTCTCTTTATGAATTATTGATATATCTGTGACATCAATGTATCAATACTTTTAGCATGAAAATTATTTCTGTGTTAGATGGGTAGTAGATATACCGCAGATGTTACTTAATGGGCTGATATTTTGAATTGTTTTAAGCATTCTTTGCAATCTTGGTTTCTTTTATGGAGATTTGAGTCTTCATGAAAATTTCTGACTAAAAGATTTCTCCTGACCTTTGATGGTCTGGACACAAGTGCCTTGGGGATTAAATTAAGGTGCTCAGACAGGTATAAACAACCCTATAAAAATGCAGGCTTGAGAATCTCAAAATACCACTCAGTACTAATACTTCAGTTGAAAATTTTCTCTTTTTCTCTCTTTTATACCTAGGCGGATTGTAATAGATATTAATTACTGAGCCATCATTTTCCTGCCCACCTTGTGTTTTAAAAGCTTCTGATTTTTAAAAATACTTCTGAACTCAAGCTTCTAGATTCCCATAGATGCACTATAACCATGGCAGCTTCCGGGTCAATGCCCTATTTGATACCATGTGCCTTTTTTCTCTGATTAAGTGGGAATTGTTGGATTTGTATTTGAATGAACACCTGCAAACACTCTTTGACCAGTGTTCACAGTCATTTTCAAATCTCAAACTGGAACGAAGGTAGAGGTACATACACCAACAGGAGGAAGTAAGTAAGGTGCAGATGATGGTGTCTGTGCTTGACAGGAACTACTGCATCAAAAACTTATCAATAGTAGCATAATTTCTGAAACCATTTAAATTTATAAATTGAAATATATATTGAAGTTTATGTCAAATGTGATACTATTAAATTTGTTGAGTTTTAATCAACAAAGGTAAAAATGATCACAATGTTTGAATTCTCTCTTATTTTAATAGACTTTTTTAATTTTACTTTTTTGAGTCATTTTTGGATTTATAGGAAAACGAGTAAAAAGTACAGAGAATTTACAAATACTCCCTCCCCCTCCTCCACTTCATCACCTTTATTATTCATATCTTGCTTTGGTGTGGCACATTTGTTACAATCAATGAGCCAACACTGCTATATTACTATTAGCTAAAGTTTGTAGTTTACATTACGGCTCTCTCTTTGTGTTGTACTTTCCATGCGTTTTTAAAATGTTGAATGACATGTGTCCACCATTACAGAAGCAAGCAGAATAGTTTCCTTACCCTAAAAATCCCGTGGCTTAAAAAAAATTTAATGTGTTTTATTTTTCCAAAGTGAGATAATGTGCTTTTCTCCTCCTAGTAATTAAAATGTAGAAATGTAGTACAAACATAACATTTGTTTAAAATATAACTTGTTAATGACTTACATTTTTATAATACCTGGGGTTTGTAGTTTTAAACATGGTTAATTCATTCACATTAATTTAATAACAATGCTAACTGAAAAATACAGGAAACTACAATGGATGCTTATTATCTTACAGTTCCATTTAGCAACAAGTTAATCCTAAACATCTTTGAAAGTGAAACAGCAGTTATAAAATTGTCTTGTGTTCTTCCTAGATGAATCATTTTTCCTTATTACATAGACCTTGAACACATTCTCTTGATGTTTCTGTTGTGAGGGAGGATAAAAGAGATTTACCAGCACTTTCAAGAAACATTTTCTAAATATTCTTTTGTTTCTACTTTTATATGAGTAAGGATTATTTTTAATTCTCCACTTCTAGAACATGCAACTCTAAAAGGAGTTAATTATTAGTGCTATGTGTAGTTCACCTATTTGGCAGAGCAATAAATACTTGCTGACTGATTGACTGTAACTTAAGTAGTATGAATGTCAAAAGATTGGAAATGATTGACCAGATTATGGATTCTGAGTTTTGGAGGTTAACAGCCAAGCAAACACTGAGACCAAATTGTAATTTTAATCTGTTCCCTAATCAGCAACTGTAGACTTAGAAAGCTATTAAACTTCAGCTGTCTTTTAATAGAAGGACATATGTTTATTTTACCTTCTCTTCAGAGATACAGAATAATTTTGAATTGGAAAGAGAAATATAAAGTACATGAAGAGCAAAATGATTTCCTATGTAGGTGAGTTTACCCAAGAAATGTGTTCTCTTGCAAGTGTAGAGTTGGAGCTTGACTTTCCTATGGTTACTGTTATGCTAATATTTCTAGTCAACATAGTTAAACATTGTTTGGTCACTAAGGTGTTTGTCAGATATAGATCAAAGAACTGGGTGGCTAATTGAACTTTGACTGAAATCACAAAAGGTATTGGCTTCGTAATGACCAGATTTTAAAGGGCTAATGACAAATGACGGAATAACATGAAATCATAGCACATTTTGACTATCAGTGAAGATTATTTTCTTTGGAAGGCTGATCCCCATCCTTATATTGAAGAATGGTTTAATGGAAATCTATGTATGTGTCTTGTGCACTTGCCTCAATACCCAAAGGATGGTGAATGGATGTAGATTTATATGCTTTAAGTGAAGTTGAAGCAAGTTGCTGCAAGTTGAAAATTGCAGATGTATATGTGTACATGTACACATATACATGTACAATATAAATGTGTACATGTATATATGTAGTGTGTGTATATA